GTCCTGATCCAGGTTGATGATTTTGAGAATTCTTGTCTTTCAGTCTGATTGGGCATTTATTTTTCTAGTCTATAGCCATTACATCTTACATATTGGTCTTTGACCAGAAGGTATGGTCATCTATCAGACTGAATTTTTTTGTGGTAAGCAAGTGCTTCTTGTGCAATGCAGGCTGCATCAACCATCTGTAGATTTTCTGGGGCCTCAGGGCCAAACAAGAGTGTAGATGCTGTAGGCTTTACAGAGTCTCTCATAGACAGTTGAGGTGCTTTTATCAGGCTTCTGAGTAGCATTAGTAACTTTTGACATACTGATGGGCTTTTTGCCCCTCTCTTTGATGCCTTTGAGAAACACTTGACAATATCTGTGGATTGCTTTGTTTCTCTCATGGTGTTACAGTCCCAGGTCGAGCAGTCATTTGGAAAGACTGAAGTAACCCAGCTATCAGGGTTGACAGTGAGAGAGGGGACTTCTCCCTCCAATCAGTTCTAAGCTTCTGTTAAAATTCAGTAGCATTCTTCAGTTGCTGTACAGAGTCAGAAGGAGTTGCTGACAGTCATCTCAGGTGGGCATTAGATGATGACGTCTGGCCAGGATAGGCATTTAAGGGCAGGTGTAGAGAAGAAGTCTCCAGTGGGATCACAGGCAATGACTGACTGGACTCTTTGGACTTGGGGATGGAGAGGCAGGCTAGTGTGGTATCAGATGAACTTGCAGAAGGCTGGCAACAGAAGGACTGGTGGCTGGTACCAGTCCAGTTGTTTGGGAGTAGAGGAGCCAGACTGGTCTGGTGAAACTGTATGCTCTGGCAGCAGCTATGGTAGCCAATAAGCAATGATACATCTGCCAAGGAGGAATCCTCAGGAAAAATGGGGTTTTGTTCAGGGAGTCTTGTTTAAGAACAGAGCCAGTTGTTTCATTTTAACTTTGTAATCATTAGAAAAAAAGCCTTTTAAAAAATTCTTTAAGATATATATTCCAGAATTATAAGTTTTGACTAGTTAGATCCCATCCTATCTCCCTATGTGTATGTGGTGTTACCTTGTTCAGAAAAAAAGAGACAGACAAAGGGGTTGCCCTCTTTGGTAGAAAATCAGTCTGATGCTTGAAGAGCCACTCCTCTATCGGGGACTGAGGTCTATCTTAGCAATAGGTACAGCTGTATCCATAGGCCAGGTCTCTGACCCCCATTACAGAGGTTTGAGCCACCACTGAACCAAATGATAGACCATGGAACTATAGAACAAACCCATTCGAACTCCATAGCTCAAAGCTGTGGAGGTACAGAACTGGCCATCTGAAGCAGCTGGGTTTACCTGGGATGATGTACATTCACTCACACATTCAACCAGAGATTAAAACATTCCACCTTCAACCCAGAAAACAGAAACTGGCTAGAAGATGACCGTGCTCCACTTCCATCCTTGATTTGGGATGGGCTGACTATCAGGAAAACACAAAAACCCAGGATGCCTTACTGTGATTCAGAAATCCAGGGGTTCCAATGCACCAGAAATTGTTGTGGGAAAAATTGAATCAATAGTAGCCAGGAGTTCGGAAGAAAGGAAATTTTAATGCTAGTAAACCCCAAAGAAGTAATCTCCAGAGTCTGAGGTCCTGTCTTATTTATAGGGTGGTGAAGTTACAACAAGATAAGCTTGTTAGGGTCAGGTACAGGCACATGTATGCACTCATATGTATATGTATATGTATATGTATATGTATATGTATATGTACATAAAATTATGGCCTTCAAGCATTAAAAGAATTGCCACTGAAATCTCTTCATGTGGAGTAAGAATACTTCATTCATAAGTCCAGCTACAACTAAAGTGACTGAAACCATGTCTTGATGGTGATAGTCACATCATCCCCCAAAATAAAGATAACAAATGCATGAAGCTACAGTTATGTTGGTCATGGGCTGATTAGACATTAGTACATCGAGATGTCTTATTTAAGGGGAACGAGTGAGTGATCTTAGTGTTATGGCACTGAAGTAAGAACCAGATGTCTCTTAAAAATCTTTAGTAGAAACTCTCCACATGTTATGGGCTGGGGGTGAGCCTCTCTAGTGGGCTGCTGGTTTCATGGAGGATGGTAGATTAAGAGGTTGATCATGGGAAGAGGATAGTCGTATTGACAAGGACTTAATTGATTTGATGGGACATGCCTAAAGATGGAATGAATGTATTACGTAATATAGAATCACAGGATTTTGGAATTGAATAGGCATATTGTTGAGAAGTTAAAGTGAAGTAAAGGATTGCAATGGTTTATGTACGTTCAAGGTTTATTGTACTTGCTTTATATCCGTGGGGTTGAGGATTTAATGTTAATTAAATGTCTGATGATTTATATCTTATGTTACATGTTATGCACTAGTACATTTATTAATGAGGACGTGCATTAATGTGCTACGTACATAGTTGGGGTGTGGTTACACTATATGAATGTGTATCCGCCAGTGTCAAAGAATAGTTCAACAAGAAAATAAGTTTTGGGTACTGATGGTATGAGTTTTGTTTCTTCCTTGAATTAGGTATTTGTGATGACCATAGTTATATATGTAGCAAGTTGTTTTTTAGCACATTTACAAAAGTTTCAGTTTAACAACAAATCATATAATTTAGTTGAGTTCAGTGGCAAAGAACAGCATAACTACAGCTTTATTTAACAAAATGGGTGCAGGTAGATCAAGATTTCTGCATCACCTTAGTAATAAGAGTAAAGACATATTTCTATATTTGTTGTTCTTCACATGTATATGTTGATGTATGTCTATACATAAAAAAGGCCACAATAAATATTTTAAGTTGATCAAACCATTAAAATTTTGACAGCATCTATTTCAAGATATCTCTTTTTTCTAGACACCTTGATCTAATAGTTTAGGAATGCTAAACCTAGTACTTTGTGAATACACAGGTTCTGAAGTATTAATGTTTTACAGAAGTCTAGAGGAAAATAATCTAAATGTTATTTTGGAATGACCAAGTATTTTTATATCAATATAAGAGAAGGAACGATGGCTGGAAGTCAGAGGTCCTTAGAATATGGGGCAATCTGGAAACAGCACTGTATGGATTAGATCTTAAGTATTCTGGCAAAAGCTCATGTGTTCACAGATGGGGCTTTTGGAAATTGATTGAATCATGGAGACAATGTATTCATCGGTGGACTCATCTATTGGGAACCACAAATTGTAAATTGAAACATCCAGACTCATTCTTGTCCTGTGCTTGAGCTGGACTAGAAGACAGACACACCTGCTCTTTTCTGGTCACAGCTGGAAGCCCTAGAGCTGATGACTGCTGTGGCACGCACAGGACTGGAGATAACAAGCATCTGGGGAAACTACTGTTTCCTTACTGCCCTCCTCTCTGTCTTTGTCCTTACAAGAATGCTTTGTTCCCACTAGCCTGCTGTATCCACATTACTGTTCCAGGAAGTACCCACCGCTGTTCACTCACTGACCTTGACTCAGATGTAGTGAATAAATACCAAGGTTCTGAGTGATCTGAGAACAGCTAGTCATCCTAGATCTCTGCCTGCACCCCTATTTTGTCTCTTGCTCTTTTTTTCTGCCTTAGGCAGTAACTCTGAGCCCGATACTGGGGACTCACTACAGGGATCCTGATAGCTGGTGCTGTGAAAAGGTTTCTAATATTAATTCATTGATATTTTCAAAACTGAAAATACAGTGAAAAGGTAGTGTCTGGTAAAAGGAGGTGGGTCACTGGCAGGATAAACTGGAAGGTGAATTGTTCTCCCCAACCCCTCTCTGTTTTGGTCTTCTCTCTTTTTTGTCCACTCTTTCCTCTGTTGTATCTTTCCACTGTGCCTTTCCTGTTTTACAATCAACTAATCATGATCTGAATCCTCTGAAAACTTCAGCCAAAATAAACCTTCCTCCTTATATTGTGTCAAGAATTTTTGTCCCAGCAGTGGGAAGATAACTAATATAGACACTTACCTCATGGTACTATTTAAAGAATAAATTAGACACATTATTTTAAACAATACTATTTTTAACATTAATTTTTAACAATAATTAAATGCATTCTTTATTTTTTTCTGATTTTAGGAACATACACAAACATAGTTCTAAGATTTTTTTCATCCCTACAATACAATGAAAATGTTGACGTCTCCTTTAAGTTCTTTGGCATCACAGACAACTCTCATATAGAAGGACCTTTTTTCTCAAAGCAGGATATTTTAAGAATTTTCCTCAAAATTTGTTTTTCAAATTTTCCATTAATAACTTCATTTATACTTTAAAAATCAATTTATGCATATTTATATGATTTTGTTTTACTGTAATATGTTGGTCTTCCACTTTGAAAGATACAGGAGTCCTTTGACTCTATTTCCTTAGCAGCAATTTATTCTGTAAATATAATTGCTTTTGTTACATAGTCATAATTAAATTTCAAGGTTTGAACATAAGTCACTCATCCTAGAACTAAACATCATATCAAATCATGAAACACGTATCACCTGGGAGTGCATCATTTCGCTTGCCTTGGAATGCAAGTCTTAATTCATTTTAAAATAAATGGACATCTTTCTGTGTCAATTCCAAATCAATGTTTTTCCTATTTACTGAAATTTTTCATATAGTTATTTCTTCTATTAAAATATTGGAAAATCACTCTCTAGCTGAGAATGCTTTCTTCCTTCAATTTTCTAATAGTAATAGTCTAAATATGATAATGAAAAACAATGAATATTGAATGTTGATCAGAGTCTCTAAGTTCTTACTCCTCACTTCTCCATGGCAGGAAAGATCATATTTCTCTGACATTTGAGTTCTTGTGTCTCTACACAAGATAAAACAGGAGACAATAACTTTTAAGACCCCAGATTTTTAAGATACACTTATCATACAATGTTATATTTTAAAGTTCACATATATATGGAATTATAAAGAAAAGAGTAACAAACATCAAATGAATCCATGAGAATGAAATAGACCCAGGAGAAAAAAGATATACCTGCAATTTCTTCTAAAGTATTAGCGTGCATGTCCAGCAACACAGTTCCATTCAGAATACAACTTCTCAACTCAAACAAGCTGTGCAATGAAAGAGTAGCCACATATGGCTTGCTCCACCTCTCCCCACCATCTTCCACATCTTCTTCAAACTTCAACCACCTACACAGACAAACAGTCTTATCAATACATTGCATGCTGTATTACAAATGAATGACCTGCAGTCAGAATAATAGAAGGCCTAGCTCTGGAGAAGCATTTTAATAAAAAATATTTAACCAGAAGTCACCATGATTCTGTTGTAGAACTAAAAGAGAGAGAGAGAAAGAATACCTTTTTTATGAAAAGTCAATAGTAATTGAAAATGAAAATGAAAAAAAATACTCCTTTTTGCTTATGGGGAAATTTTAAACTTGAGTATTTTACTTCTTGGTAATTTTCCCATTGGATCTGTGAGTAATGTAGCATAATTTGGGGCCTATTTCTATAGGAAACATCCTTATAAGGCTTGTTTGAGGGAAATCAAACACCTTTTGCTCAGACATCTTTTGCTCAGTGTTCCAACCAGGGATGAAAACAGAAGAATTATAGTATTGTCCTGCCCACTAGGAGACAACCACCTTCTTAGAGTGAATACATACATGCCATTGCTTATGAGAAAGATGAACAGGAGAGATAAAGATAAACCAGTGGTTTTTACTACTCTGGCAGGAATCATTTAGCTCTTTATGGACTCGCATGCTAATCCTAGTAGATGATTAATTTAATTCCACCATTTGAAATTAACCCCAGCCTAAATTGCCCCTTTGTTTTCCCATTCCCCACCATTCCCCTAATCATACTGCTTTAAGCCATTTGGAAAAATATTTCCTCTCTCCAAGTAATATCTTATAAGTTCTCTACATGATATATTACTATTATTTAAATCTAATCAAATGATAAATATGTGAGAGTAACTAGACAGAGAATCAAACAGATCTGCCAAAATTAACTAGCCAACAGAATTTGTCAGAATGATTATATCCAGAGTAGCAAAAAAAATCAAGAAAGTTATAAATCTGTCCCTAGAGTTTGGGAAGGATCAAAAGAAAGCATTATCTTGGATGAACAGGAAACTAATGGGAAAGAACAGCTACAACTGCCAAAACTTTATGTGATAAAACAAATATGCCAACAGAAAACATAAGTTAGAACAACTTATAAGCTATCCTAAATCACTGATAGTGTCTTTTAAGGCCAGCAATTTAATAAAACAATACTAATTCACAGCAGCTTTCATATTGTTTATTCTTCAAATTTATCAACAACTGTTACAGGGACATAATGCTTCATGTATCATGTGGTGATCATGAGTATTGTTGCTGAGCCATAAATGGTTTCTGTCCTTTCTACTGAATTTAGGGCATTACCACTGGTAACTGATAACTGGGTGACTCCATGTGATAAGACTGTGCTGGTCAATAAGGTCAGAGCAGAAATTATATGTGTGTGTCTTCCAGACTGAATTATTTAAATATCAGAATAAACACCCCCAGCTCCTTTTCTATAACATGGCAATCAATAATATCGGCCCAATGTGTAAAATTAGTGTGACAGATGAACAAGTTCTAGTTTCTCTTCAGATAACATAAATCTTTCACCTTTTTAATGATGAGGGGCTGCGGATATAGCTCAGTGGCACAGCACCTGCCTGGCAAATCAAGGTCCTGAGTTCAATTCCCAGTACCAAAAATAAGTTACCATTAAGGCATCGAAATATCACAGTGGATCAACATCTTGATGGACAATGTAAGATGGAGTACTATTGGTGATGGTGCCTTGAACTAGTTGAAAATAAAAAGAAATTTAGGTTTTATCCAAACGCTCCAGCCAAACCACCACAAAACCAAAGGAAAGTCTTCCAACTTCTCTTGGCTAGTTTTTTCAACTGAATAAAAATGAGACAAACTCAGCACGTGGACTAACTGAGCCATGATAATCACTTAGCCAAACTAGTATTCAACTCCAAGTTGTTTTTAATTTGTTTTTCCTCAAAATCTGTTCCCATTTCCTGTCATAATAGGGATTGCTTGTGTTAAATTTATTACAGTCCTTTTCAGCTCAAAGATGTATACAAATGGCTAGAGCAAAAACAATTGATTTTCACCAATTTCTGAAACCAATTCCAAGTTGAAAAATGTTCCTCTTCTTTTCTTTATATACTGGTTACATTTTTCTTTATTATCTACTATGCTAGATTTAAAATGGATGTTTTTCCTTTGTCAGGCTGAACATCATATTCTGGGGACTGGCTTAAATGAAACTTTTCACAAAGAGCACCAGACATGTAGATGCAGCTGTTCCTAAATCTTTTGGCATTTATATACTACTGACATGACTGTCAGACAAAAGAAGCAAAACAAATACTACATAGCAGCCTTTAAGCTAGTGATATTTAATTAAAGAATCAAGTTAGGATTCAATCTAGTTTTCAGTCTGTGAGTAGTGAAGTCTTAGGGCTATAAAAGGGTATAGTAGTATTTGAGGAAAAAACACATACTTTTCTTTGGAAAAAAATGTTTTTCATGTATGATTTCTGGATAACGTATCAGAATTTAGGAATATTTAAGTTATTCACAGGTTTTGCCATCACAAGTAAATCTGTTATGCATACTCTAGAGTGATGCTACTATTCTATGTTTATATCAAGGATATATGAAAGATCCGGGTTTTTTATACCCTTACCAGCACTTATTATTACAGCTATTTTTTATTTTATATATTTTAGTAGGTATATAGGTATAAATCATAGCAATTTTAATTTACCTTTCCCTAAAGATTAATGATGCTGAATATATTTTTATGTGTTATTTGCCATGTATCTCTCATTTTTGATGAAATATATTTTTGTGTTTTTGCTCAATAATGATTTATTCTTATACAGTTCAACTTAAAAATTGATTATATATTCTCTATGTATTACATTTGTTGAATAAATGGTTTGAAAACATTTTCTACCATTTTCTCCCTGTTTGTAGCTTGTCTTTTAAATTTGTGAATAGGCTTTTTTTTTTTTTTTGGTTTGGTTTGTTTGGTTTAGTTTTTGTTTTTCTGATACCAAGGATCAAACTCACAAACTTAGAAACAAACAAACAAAAAAGCCAGTCCCTGTGCTACTGAGCTATATCCCTAGCCTTGAATATGCTCTTTTACAGCACAGACTTTTAGTTTGGGTGGGGAAGGAACTGGGAATTGAACTCAGAACCTCATGCTTGCCAGGCAGACATTGCACACCTGAGCTAAATATATGGTCCACAAATTTTTAATTTTGGTGAAGGACTGTTTATGAATTTTTTTATGAATTGTGCTTGGTAGTCACATGTGAAAACTTATTACCTAGGCTTAGCTACTGAAGATTTTATCCTATATTTTATAGCTTTATTTTTTGTATTAAAATTTATGATTTAATTTGAATTAGTTTCCATTTTGCTGTGAAGTGTAGATAAGATTAAATTTCTTTTTGCCTGGAGATATCTAACTGAACCAGCAGTATACATTGAAAAGACAATCCTTTCTCCATTTTATAGGTTTTTCTCTGTCAGAATTAGCTAGACCACTTACGGTGTTGTGAAATACCTTAAAAATAAATCCAAGAGGTGTGTTGTTTCCTTTATAATAATTTATTTCAAATCTGGGTGTGGGACAGTTCTATTAGAAAAAAGAGATTGGCTAGAAGTTTTAAGCAGTATGAGAGTTAAAATGACCAAATATAAGTTACATGCATGGATGGTTTGATGTAACCACAGGTTTCATGAATATTATAGGAGACAGAAGGTACTTTCCATAAAAAGGAACCCACAAGTTACAAATATCAAGTTACTAAAGATACCAAACATTTCAAGACTCAATGCTTTATGCCAACTGCAGAATGATGCCAAAAGCATTAAGAGATATTTAAATGCATGTTTTAGAGGCTATATTATAAAACTATATATATATATATATATATATATATATATATATATATCACATAAGTATATCTCTCTTTTCTTTTTTTGTCACCCATTTCATCCTTCAAAGAGAGAAATTAGCAGGTCTGGGAACACACTAGGTCTTGTTTCAAGATTTTTTAGTCACTGAATATACTGTGAGTTGCAAAATGTCTGATCACAGTTAATGATCTAAAGGGCTGCAATGTGTTCCAGTTTTTGAGTAAACTCTTGTGACATTTGTTTGAATAGCAAACCAAAGCAAACAAAATTCTCAGAATATGAATGAGATGTGACGGATGATGAAAAAATGAAATAAAAATTGTAGACCAATTACATGACATTTTCTATAAGGGGAAAGGGAGGAATGAAAGACTGAGCAGGTTATTTTCATTTCTTCCACGATGTCTGGGTCTGTTTTCATCCATGCTTAACTGACTGAAGTCTCTTTCTACTAAACAGTATTAATTTAAATAGGAGTTTCATGCAGTCTTGGAGACTTAAGTGGATGATAAACTACTGTATGACATGCATATTAAGAATCCACAAAAGAAAACTCTTTTGTCTATTACAAATAAATGTTTCCTAGAGAACTTAGCTCTTTCTTTGTATTTTACTACCACTAACTCAATTTTCTAGGAATTGTTATTCTCTAATTTGACTCAAACAGAAAGGAGCTCCTGTATCACAAAATGTATGCCTTTGAAATAGTAATATATGATTCAAAGGAACAGATATTTTAGGAAAGGTGGAGACATGGCAGATGGAAGGACAAATAGGACTAAGATGAAGCCAAAGAATAACTTTTGCAATAAGAACAAATTTATAGCCATTTTAAGGGGAGGTAAAATACATCCAAACTCACTGTTTATAGACATTAGTTCTTCTTAATTCATATATCTCCATACTTCACATCACGAAAAAACCCAAGTTTCTTGAACATTTACTAGTTTTGAGTATAAAATACTTTCACGGTTGTTATTTTGATGTAATACTCCTTTTCCCCATGACCCTGTATGTAACAGAGGCTTAACTGCTACCTTCCGCTTTGCTTCTTACGAGCCAATTTGCAGCAAACATTTTTAAAGGCAACCACAGTGAGTCAAACTACAGTGAGTCAAACGTGTCTCCACCATTAGACAGCTGTGGTAGCCTTGCTCATTTTTATATTAATAACATTATATGTTATTTATA